GAGTGCTTGCTTTTTAAGGGCCTCTTCTCTATGGTCTCATTTGAAGATTGAGGAAAGGAGAGAATGTTGGAATCCTGATTATACAGGATAAAAAACATGGCACCCGCGGAGGTATTGGCCCATGTGATCCATGTCACACTCTGGCCATTTCATTTGCATCCTGTGTTGTCAGGAACCTGAGATGGAAGGGCAGCTCCATTACTCTGGGCCGATGTTAGCTCTGTGAGTGTGCTCCTATGAGGATGCTTACTGAGAGTCACAGGGCAGTGCAACTTCTCTCCAAAACATAAAATTAGTAAGGAAGTATACCTGTGCAGGGAGAGAAGGGGATGGGGAGGAGGCAGGGGAACAAGTAAAATGGAATTGTGTCCTTGGAACTATTCCTGTGAAATACACAAAATCTGTTCTCTTTATATTAATAAAAATTTAACAAAGTGTATCAGTATATCAAAAAATTAAAAGGTAAAAATTGTTTTTTGAGGTAATAATTGTTTTTCAAGGTAAATAAAAGCAGACAAATTGTCAGTCTTTCTGGAGGTGTCTATACCTGGTATTTTTCTTCCTATATTTGTAAGAAAGCTCATCTCTGATGTCTACGAATTATCTAATCATGAAAATACCTTCACTGCAGTAAGTAGGAACATTCATAGCTGATATCGGCCATGTTTGATGTAGTTGCCATTCTGTTAGAAAAGTTAATCCAAATTTTAAGAGGAGATAACTTTACTCAAAGTGGAATTATATTGGGTCATATGCTTAAATATAATATATAAAAAATTTGAACAAATGTTTTTATGTATGATGTTTGGGCCTTAAAATTATTTCAGGTGCTTTTATTAAGATAACAGATTAAATATATATCATATATACAGTTAGATACAGTTTTAAGAACATGCATACCCTACCTCCCTACCTAATTGTTACCCTTGGTCTTCCTCCTCTCACTCCTCCCCAGCCCTTTCTCACTCTCATCCTCCCTTCTCGTTCCTTTCTTGCCTTTCTTTTATTTTTGCAATGGAATACTTTATTAGTTTATAGGCATTAATTTAACTCTTCATTAGATACAGAATTTAACTAGTAGCAAGTAGAAAGCCACTGTTCATCAGGATCATAGACAAAGATTGTGAACAGTAATCAAATCTCAAGTGTCAGTTTTAGTCATAAGCATTATTCTTTTTCTACTCTGCACATTAGTAACCACAAATCAGGAAAAACATATTTCTCTTTTGGATACTGGCTTAATTCATTAGGCGTGATGATCTCCAATTGCATTCATTTTGTTGCTAGACTTTTTTTTTTTTTCTCTTTTAAGGCTGAGTAGTATTCCACAATGTTTATATACCACAATTCTTTATCTAGTCATCCATAGATGGGCATCTGGATTGATTTCATATTGTACCCATTGTGAGTTGAGCTGCTAGGAACACAGGGTACACATCATTCTTTCATATGCTGATTTAATTTCCTTTGGGTAAATCCCCAGGAATGGTATAGCTAGGTCATATGTGAGATAAATTTTCAGGTTTCCGAAGGATCCCCGTACTGTCTTTCATAATGTTATATTAGTTTACCTGCCCCCCGACAGTGTAGCGGGGTGCCTTCCCACCCCACCCACATCCTCATCGGCATTTGCTATTTTTCGATTTTCAGATGATAGCCATTCCAGCGGGAGTAATGAAACCTCATTGTGGTTTGTAGTTGCATTCTTCTGATGGCTAGTTATCCTGGAATAGACTTTAACATTTCTGACTTATTTATTAACGAATTAATTAATCCTTACCTTTAAAAATTGCGGCAACCTTCCAAATTCTAAGGCAAATATCCTGCTAAGGTATCTTCACTCTGACACCAGCAGAAAAGGGAGCATGGCTGCTGCTTGTCTGATCTCACTGAACAACATCCAAGTGAGACAAGTGCTAAGGGTGCTTGCATTTGAAAAAATAGGTAAGTAAATGGGAGCTCCATTTAGAGAAGTTAGGTAGGGATTATGCAAAAGTGAAATCTCAAAGGGAGAGTGTTTACTTGCTAGGGAAACAGACGTGACATCCCACCATGGCGCAGAGCTTGCTACGTCTTAGAGCGAGAGAAGGTGCTGGGTCTCTGGAGAGGAGAAGGGCACAAGGATTGCAGAGGGGCATCAGTAACGATGCATGTGCCATCTTGTACACCAAGGGAAAAAACTTGGCCAGTAGCGTAAAAGTGGATCTCTTAAAAACAATTACTTCTCTGCATGGATTCTCTTGATGTGCTTCCTCCTTTGCTCCGGAAGTCTGTATTGTGTGTTGGAGACATCACAAATGGAAACACGACCCCAATCTTTGGGCATTTTCTCCAGTCTGAAGAAAGTGTAAGGGTCCATAGTGAACATTGAAGTGTTTAATCACAGCAAATGATTACTTTTTCACAGACTGAATGAAATAACAATTAAGTTGGAATGATGGGAAAGATGAATTCTGTGTTTCTTCTGCTTTATCATAAGCTATTGTGTATTTTAAAAAATGGAATAGGAATGGTATTCTCAATGCAATTCAATAAATATATATTAAAATGATGAGGTAATTGGAAGCCATTCAATAGAGATTATTAAATGAAATTATTAAGACCTACAAACCATGGGACAGTAATGGTGTAACAGACACTGTATACCGGTTCATGCTTTGTCTGTTTCATAATCAGCTTCCAGCTAATTCTGGGATAAACAGTGGAATATGAGCCAGATTCTTGGGCCCCTGTGTTGTTGTTGTTTTAAGATTTATTTATTTTTACTGGAAAACAAGATACACAGAAAGAAAAGACAGAGGAAGATCTTCCGTCTGATGATTCACTCCCTAAGTGACCACAATGGTCTGTGCTGCACCAATCCGAAGCCAGGAGCCAGGAACTTTCTCCAGGTCTGCCACATGGGTGCAGGGTCCCAAGGCTTTGGGCTATCTTCAACTGCTTTCCCTTGCCACAAGCAGGGAGCTGGATGGGAAGTGGAGCTGCCGGGATTAGAACTGGCGTCCAGTGGGATTCAAGGCAAGGACTTTAGCCACTAGGCCACGGCACCGAGCCCAGGCCCCTGTTATCTATGTGAGAAACTCATGAAACTCTTGGCTTCTGCCAGGCCTAGTTCTGGTCATCGGAGCCATCTGGGAAGTGAACCAACAGATGAAACAGATTTCTCTTTCTCTCCCCTGTTCTCACCTTAACTCAACATTTAAAACAAATTTTTAAAACAGATCAAAAAAATTAGAAACTTTAGGTAAAAATATTAAATCTTCACTTCTTCAGTTGCTTCTATTTCTGTATTACTAGATTTTGTGAAAAGAGAGTTAGCTTTATATAATAGCAATTGTCGGAATTAAAATTACCTCTAAAGATGTCAAAATTTTAACTTGACAGGTTCTTAGTTTATTTTTCTAGCAACGAGTTGATTAAATTAATTTATATCATAGGTAACTGGGATTACAAATAACTGTATATTTAGATAATTCAAATGAGAAAAGCAGGTTTGTCCTACATGTTGATGCTATCAAACTAAGCAAAGAGAATAAATCAGAGTGTGTTCCATGCATACACAAACCACATTATTTCAGCGTGGTATTGTCACATCCCTATAATAAAGAAATTTCATCAAAAATATATAACCTCAGTATTTATATTTGATTGATGCTTTATTTAAAAAAAAACGCCTGTGTTTACTTAATATCACAGTAACTAGTAATAAGCTATAGTAATATTTAGTAACAGTGGCAAAATAAGGTTTGAGACCAAAGGATATAAAAGTTTGTATCCTTTACACCACAAATCTAAGCACATTATTCAGCACCTTGTGCATGCTGTTTGGTTATTGTTCAATAATAGAGTCCGCTTGGATTTCTCCATGGTGGTTGTGCCTTACATCCAGAAGTGTGTTTGTGGAGGGTGGGGGAGAGAATTTCATAGTGATTACAGGTTCAGTGATTAAGTTGACTCCTTCTTCCACGGTGGCTGAACTGGAAAGCAAAGAGCATTCAGAGACTTTCTAGGAACTGCTAGTTACTGGATTACTTTTAGGAAAGCAACTAATTAATATTTGACACAATCTGTTAGAGATTAACCAGGCAGAGATTAATCCCACAGACATTCTTGTGCCTCTGAAGTAAATTCTGGCTTAAGATGCTAACAGTGTGTTATGTTATAGGAGTATGTGTGTATTAAACATTGGTAAATGTTTGAGATATATCAGTGAGTAAAACAGACTTGCCTGCTATCCTGGAGGAAGTCTACCAACCCTACAAAACAGACTAAGAGAAACGTGGTATAAAAGTCTTTGAGAGCATTTCTATGTTTTGTATTGTTTCAAATTGTTTTATTTCTTCTTTCAATACATCTTTTATTCAAATGGTGTATCATTTAGTACATCCTAGATTTGATTTCTTTTCCATATAACTGCATTGTTTCGTTGGTGAAAATTGTGTAATACATTTCATAATAAGTATTTAGTTGTTCATTTCATTTCTGGGAGAAAGACTGTAGTTCAATGATAGTGTTAAAAGAACGTGGGTACCTTTAGTGCAAAAGGCAGCAAATAGCGTGGTCTTTACGTTACCTGGAGTATATAACAACACTACTAGAGCAAGGTGGGAGCCGAGTCTTTAGGATAGAGACACACCTCAATGATTCTGAGAAAATTTGCTTTTGCAGGCTCTGAGGAAGTAATTGTCATTCCATAGAAATCAACTAGCTTTGCATATCAGACTAATACACACTCATACTCTTATCTATTTTCTGGGTGCTCTGGAACTGATATCAAAATAGCAAATATATATTTATGATAATTAAAGAGACTATTCTTTTATCATATAAATTCAATGCAATTATAAAATTAATTTTGAACAATATATTAAAAAGTCTACTTCATACACAAATGAGGATGAAATTAAAAAAAAAAAGTTATATCAGGCCACACAGACAGTACATCCATATCTCTGACTCAAATGCTGTGTTGCTAATTATTTCTTATTTTTCATTTGCAGATGGAAGACTGTATTTGAAAACGACTGTCATGTACTGAATCTTTTCTGTTGAAGAAATCCTTATTATAGTAAAGAACTTGGTAGCAAGAAATTCATCATGGGAAAGTTCGGGAAAAGATAAAGTCCTTTTAAGGGAACTTTTTCCAATTTTGTGTACTAATGTTCTTTCAAATTTAAGTATTCTACAGGAAAAAAAAAGTTTCTTCCATTGAGTTTCACCTGTGGTTCATACTAGAGACCTGGGAATATTTGTAAACATGCAAGTATCAAACTTCTTACAGTTAATAACTGCAACTTTACTGCTGGACACTTGTATACAGAATCAAAGCAGGTCGAAGAAAGACCTAGTTTTGCTTTTTTAATGGAATGAACCATTTCCTCTGCTGAAAATTCTGTATCTGAGCACATTAAGACTCTTGTAGCAGTGGTCACCCAGACATACAGAATTATGCTCCCCTGAAACCAGCAAGAACACTTGGAACTGAACTTGTAGAGGGGCATAGAGGATGCTGAATAAAAAAAAAATAGAGTTAACTTCTGTTACGTTCGATTTTAAACTCTCTACCTGTGGGTTTTCTCCTGAAGATTTTTTTTTTCTTACATACTTTCCGAAAGACCAACAAATGGATGTTAACAGCAACCCAATGAAATTACATTTTGCATACCTCTAAAGAGTATTGAATATAAGCCAACAGGTTTCGCTGACAGTCCTGTTTTCCCCCTTTTTTGAAAACATAGAAAATATATAACTATAACATGTTTTCATTCCAAACTGGTAGTGCTATATAGAATTAAAAATAATAATGTTGCTTCTTAAACTGTTGGTCACATGTACAGTATATAAACATAAAACACACAAGGAAGGTATTATGTATGCAGTAGAATACTAGAATTTAGGTAAACTGAAAATTTTAGAAACTATGTTTTGTCACCCTGTTGGTCAGAAAGACGTCTTTCTGGTTTTAAAGCATGCAGGCATGTAAATATTTGTCCGGAGTCACAGTATTAATGAATGAGATCTTGAGCATCTGGTGACGTCAGAACTCTGTGTCAGCCACTTTTATTTGTATATTGAACCCTAGTTAGTGCCCCCAGACTGCACTTATTAAGGATAGATCGTGGCTGGCCAGTAAATCAAAGCACCAGAAATATTTTTATATGTTAATGTCATATTATGTTAACGTTGCTGAAAAACAAACCTTAAGGAACCCTTGATGTAACAGTCCGATACATGTAGCCCTGAGTGATGAAGTTAAAATGTGCTATGCTTCCCACCCTGGTCAGAGGGTAGGGGGGCTACGTGTGATTTTCACTGTCTTTTTGAAAGTTATGGTATGTGTTTTCACTTTTGTGCAGATAACTGGAAGTAAAGCTGCCAGCAGTGCTTATTACACGCTGAAGTTACCTTCTCTTTGTTTCTACATATCTGGAAATACACTTCTAAAGAATCAGTAGAATCATTATACAATTCATGATTTCTTTCCTGGCATCTTGCAGTTGTATGATCATACCATTATTTATTATCATAAAACAGCAAACTATTAAACACCTAAGAAAGCTAGCTAAAATGTTTGAAGGTAGTGCTGATTGGATATTAATTATCTGGCTAAGAAAAATATCAACATTATAGCTACTCTAGCACGAAGCTTCTGTACTTTGTAGGTCTTCCCTGCAATGCTGAGTCATTCTTCTGCATAGCTCACACTTAACCAACTAAGTCCATTTCTAATATAATCAAAAGATTATGTGTACACTTCCTATTTTTAGCTTGCTTTAAAAAGGAGCAATATTTTTATTTAAATTAGTTAGTAAAATGCTTTTTAGAAACTTGGCTTTCTAAACATATAGTTCTTCCATGACCATCTTTTGTTACTTGAACACAAGAGATTTGATTCCTAGTTAAATGTGTTTTCCCTATATGCAGAATTATGTCATTTAAAATTGGACAGATTTAAGGTAAATTTTTGAATCATTCATTTTTCTTGCAATTTTTTTTTCAAACGTCTACAATTTACATATGTAATAGAATCAAACATTGCTCTGCTCCTGGCATAGAGTCACCTGTCAAGTGGGTTAAATAGTTTTAAAACACATGCTTTCAAGACCTTCGAGAACGCTTTAGTGTTTGGTTTGACATAAAAGAAATTTTAGCAAGGATTAAAGAGTAAAGCTATCAGCTATATGTTAAGAGAGTCTTACTAACACGTTGTATATAGTACAGTTCCAGAAATGTTATTGTAAGTCTGTAACTTAATTTTTTCCTTTTCTAGTTATGCAGGTTGGTTTGAAGATTTATGTTTTGGCATAAGCAAGTAAATTTGTGCCCATTTTATGGTTTCCATGCTTTTGTACTCCAAAAAAATATTAATGTCTAGTTGTTCTGTATTATAACCACATTTGCGCTCTATGCAAGCCCTTGGAACAGAACATACTCATCTTCATGTAGGACCTATGAAAATTGTCTATTTTTATCTATATATTTAAAGTTTTCTAAAAATGATAAAAGGTTATTACGAATTTTGTTGTACAAAATCTGTACAAAAATCTGTTTTTACATCATAATGCAAGAATTGGAAATTTTTCTATGGTAGCCTAGTTATTTGAGCCTGGTTTCAATGTGAGAACCACGTTTACTGTTATTGTATTTAATTTTCTTTTTCTTTTCAACAATCTCCTAATAAAAATGTCTGAAATCTCCCTGTGACTTTATTTACAGTTCATCTTTATTAAATTTGTGAATGCATTGCATTGAAGGAATATTTACTTTCTAATGGGAGGCATCTAAAAACAACATAAGTCAGCTCTTTACAATGCGATGGCAACAATGCTCAATGATTTTATTTAACATGCAACTGCTTCTATCTCTAATATGAATTACTGTGGTGAAAAACATCATAAAAGCACACTCTGTAGTTATTGTTTAACAAGCAGATTTTCCATATTTTGTTTCTTGCCAGCTAAGCAAACTGCCCACATATACATGATTTATTTATGTACATTTCTCAGTTTATGAAGCTGTTATTTGTACCTTTTTCCTTTATATTCTTATATTCCCATGATTCTTATTTCACAAAGCTTTGTGCTGAATAATGTAAAGTAGACATGTTGATGGAACAAAATATATTATTCCCATATCTATGTGAGTGTAGATTTGTAACCCTAATTCACTGTTTTGCTTTCAATTCTATCACTGGAAAAAATGCCTTTAGTAACTTTGAAATTATAATATCCTTTAATAATACATACCCATTTTAATCAATCCAAAGGGCAGCATTTGAAGAAGTATGGGGTTATTATCTCTGTGAATATTCTTAATATTCCCAAGAGAATGGAAAATGGATTTTTTTTCTGTTAGATGAATTATTTCAAGAAATTCATGAAACCATATATTAGCAAATCATGATTTTCCCTAATAAAAGCTTTAAATGTTTACGTGACTATTAAAAATACATTTTTGCTTTCTGTTATCAAATGTTTATGTCAGTAAGACTTGTATTAGAACACAGAGTCACTACATGTTGATGCAATTCAACGATCATTTTGGTTTTGTTCCTTTGTGTTTTCAATGGGCTAACAATCTTAAACCTGTGTAAAAGCTATTCCCTGCTAGATGTGAGCGTCTCACAAATAGAAATTATGTAGGATGCAATTGTCAATTTAGGAAATAAAGATGTTAGCAGGCTCAAAATATTGTTAAAAATATTAACAATGTCACTTTTCACTCACACCGGCTTGGTGCTAATTCTCATCTTTAGTAACTGATATTTAAACTCTGAACTACCCCTAATTTATTCATTTAGGCAGATTCTTAATAAAGCACCTATTCTGCACAAAGCACTGTGCTAGATATTGTCATGATTGAAGATGAAAATATAGTTATACCAAAGCAGCTTGTCACTGTCTTAGAATAGGGACTCTTCAGGAACAAAAGATTCACTGAGTATTATTTTCTTTTTAGTAGACCTAGAATGGAAGAGATATTAAGAGGGTGCCAACGAAACACATCTTTCTACTAACAATTTAATCACCCACTTGGTATCTCAGCCTGCTAAATGATTTATGAATCAAATGATTGACTAAAAAATGAGAAAGAATTGAGAAAATGGAAAAACATTTTCCCTTAAATAAAATGCCATCTTTGTTAGTCATTTCATGTTATTTGTTCACTAAGTACAACAGATTCTTCTTAGTCATAAGCTTTGTTTTAAGATAAGCAGCCTGTTCAGTTACAGAATAAGAGAAGGGGTGTCAACAAATATGCTATGTTCAGACTATAGACTGTCACTGTATAGCATTAATCTTTATCGCCTAGCATCTGTATGTCTGCAGGGCAAGAAATGCAGTAAAATGATTCAATCCCAGAACATAAATTCCTAAATGTCAAATAGTTGCTTTTCTTAATTAGTGACATGGCAATGGTAACGTGATTGACATTTAGAGACTGACATGCAGGTGACTTTGTGCTGAACAATTTCATCCCTCCAGTGCAGGGATGAAACCAAAACAAATTCTTGCAATTCAAAGTAAAGCAAACAAACAAACATCTCCACCAACTAAACAAAAGAATTTGACAGTAAACACAGGATTCATAAACATCACCAAATCAGGAATGTAGCCTGCCCCTAGGGATCCTCTTCTAGTTCCACCTTACTGCTCTGCCCACCAATGCTGCTTTTTCTGCTTTCACTGCACCCATGCTTGCTTCCCTTAGACATCTCTTGATTTCTGCATTATTCTGGAGCACATTTCCCCAGCCCACAAAAGGGAACCCACAGTTTTTTTCTCTCTCATCTTGTGACAGGTTTTCTGAGAAGTGTTATGGTTCAATTCAGAGCGTCTTGGCCATACATTGGTTACAACTAGGGAATCCTTAGAAGCTGTTCTGTCCAACTAAATTGGAATTTCTGGGTTTGGTGTAGACCATTCTTCAGTTGACTGAGGACCACTTTCTGGGAGGGTGGCAAGTGTCCCATTACTGGACATAATCAGTGAGTTTTTGCTATGGGGCACATAGATAGTTCCTGGTGAGATGCGAAGCATTGTAAGCTGGACAGGCACTAAAAATCATGTCAGAGTTCCACAAAATCAAATATCGTTACAAAGTAATTTTAGCCTTATGAACTTAATTCTCAATGAAATATAAATTTTCAGTTTTCCCACGCAACTGGCATAAACATGATTTAAAAACCAGGTATTTAACAATGTTTTATTAAGATTTATGGCAGCTATAAAAAGTACACATATTTATGGACTTATATGTGATGTAAACCCACATATTAATAAATCTGATCCAAAGCAAGGTGCACAAGTTAAAAAACAGAAGACAATTACGTCAATGAGGGAGTAGAAGCATAGGTGAAAGAAGGCAATGTTTCTGTACTCACACTGATGAAATGTTGGCCAAAAGACTGGTAACTTTTGCAAATCTAAGGAATTGCTAACTTTCTAACAATGCCATATTAATAATATACACCATAAAACAACTAGGTATGACAAAACAATTCAGTCTTGTCGTAAGCCGATAGTTTCCAGATAAACACTGATTTTTTTGTTTTTTTTCCTGAGCCAGAGATTTAAGCTACTTGGCTAGTGGGTTCCAATTGTCTCTCAGGTGCTTTGGCTGCTCTTTCAACAGGGCTGGGCGCATGACAACCTCGGTCTTCTCCATAGGAAACAGATGGAGATACGTTGGTTGACGGCTCTCCAGCACAGTGCATT